AGACACAGTGAGAGAGGGAACACAAGCAGGGGGAGTGGGAGAGGGAGAAGCAGGCTTCCTGCTGAGCAGGGAGCCCGATGTGGGGCTTGACCCCAGGACTCTGGGACCATGACCTGAGCCAAAGGCAGATGCTTAACGACTGAGCCCCACCCAGGTGCCCCATTTTTTTGTTTTTTTTTTTAAAGATTTTATTCATTCATTTGACAGAGACAGCGAGAGAGGGAACAAAGCAGGGGGAGTGGGAGAGGGAGAAGCAGGTTTCCCACTGAGCAGGGAGCCCAATGCAGGGCTCGATCCCAGGACCCTGGGACCATGACCTGAGCTGAAGGCAGATGCTTAACAACTGATCCACCCAGCTGCCCTGCAACAATTCAAAAGTTTTAAAGCTAAGGTAAATAAAGGGAAAAGTGCTGTGTGGATGTATGTATCTTACATTGCTAGATTATAGGCATGTTAAATTTTTAAGAAGTGAAGGAAAGTTTAAATTCTTCTGAATAGTAATGCTATTAAAAGGCTAGTCACCGATTGGGAAGAGAAATTTAATGCAAAGGAGAGATTATGGTCAATCATTTCTGATCTAGATAATGGCTAACCACTCAGACACTAATTTAGCAGTGTTTTGGTGCTGTATTTTCACTTTTTTTATCCTGTGTGTTGTGTCTGAAGAGTTGGACTAACTGGTTCTCTCAGTTTTGATGTCTTGGTGGGTGAAGGTCACTATAATTTTAACTTTGCAGCTAGAGAAACTTGTATATGAGTTTATTATACTGCATTATAGTGACCACATTAACAAAAGTCTGCTATATATGTAAGTCGGGTGCTAAAATCAGTAATTAGGAGTATCTGAGCAGGACATTCTTGTCTCTAAATCAGAGTGCGGAGGAAGCCATAGTTTTCAGAATGTTGCTTAATGAGCACAAATCAGGTAAATATGAAAAACAGACGGATTCTCTTATAACTCTCTGTCATGTATGGCATACACTGTAGTTCCTAGAGCATACCCCAAGGCCTTCTGGTAACCAGCTTATTGTTTTTACGTTACTGTAAATTCAATAATGTCTTACAGAGACTCTAACTTAGTTTAGTGGTAGACTTAGGGAATAGCCTAGTTCTAATGCGGAACAAAACAGTTTAGGGTGGCTGATGTGGATGACTCATTTTAAACCACTTCAACTAGCCTGTGCTTGCTGTAATTTCTAAATCCCAGTTGCCTGTCTCATTACAGCATGTGAAAGAAAGAATGTCACAGCACACTGCAGAGATCTAATCAAGATCCTGAAGCAGGCAGAGGACCTGAATGAAAAGCTCACGCCACTGAAACTGATTGATTCTTGGATGGGAAAGGGTGCAGCAAAATTGAGAGTGGCAGGTGTTGCTCCGCCCAAACTTGCTCGTGAAGACCTGGAGAAAATTATTGTACATCTTCTTCTACAGCAGTATCTTAAGTATATACAAATCCATTTCTTGTCCTTTGGTGTTGTCTTTATGATTGTTTCTCATAACTGCAACAGAACAAGTAGTTTTCCAGTTGTTTCATATAAAACTCTTAAATGCCATATAAAATTTACCTAGTAAACTCCAACTTTAACTGATCACTGTTGTCAAAAAAAGTGCAATTTATAGAAAGTATTTGTTTTGTGCAAGTTTCAGTCCCTAACAGTGTATTAAAATTATTAAAATTTATGGATTTTTTTTATAATTTCCGCAAGCCTTTCTGAGTGTCAGCTTTTACCTCCCACAGAGAAGACCACAGTTTCACAGCATTTGCTACCATCTCATATTTGAAAATAGGACCTAAAGCCAATCTTCTGAACAGTGAGACACATGTCATTGCTATGCAAGTAAAGAAGCCCATGCAGAGCTGTTTCAGGGTAACTAGCTATTCCTTTCTATATACTGAAAAAAGCACATGAGAGCTTATGGGATGCTCTAACTAGTACTGTCCTGGGCCCAGTGGAACATAAGAGATAAGCAGTTTTCTTCTTAGAATCTGAGCATGGAAGAGAGAAAACAAACCTTTACTTTCTATAGAGATGGTAACTAATAGTTTAAACTAGTCTACCTTTTAACATAGACTAGAGTTTCCAACCTTTTAGAATGTGAAAAGTCCGTTTTAGTGTTGTTTAATTTGCGACGCATCCTGCCCTCACAATGTTGGTTGTGGATCAACACTGGTTGAGAAGTCGGCCTGAGCAGCAGAGGTCGAGAACCAATGACTCTCACACACTCAGGACTCTCACATACTCAGTACTCTCAAGCCTGCAAAAATATGCTATGTACCACTGTGTCTCTGACAACATATCCCTTCAGGGTAGGGCTCATATGAAGGACCAGTGGGATTATTAATCTGAAAAGAAAATGGAACAGCTGAGTTGTGACCAGAGTGTTTGCTTTGTTTTTATTTGCAGATTGAATCATCTCAAACTTGTCATTCTGAAGGAGCTGATAAAAAAAGGGAAGAAAAAAATTCAGGTAACTTCCAGAAGTCTGCAGACATGCTTCAGCAATCTAAGAATACAGGGACTAAGAAAAGAAAAATTGATGATGCATGAGTGTTTCTAAATTATCCAAGAAAACAGTTTATACATGTATACACCATTATTTTGTAGTTAAAAGTTAAAGACAATTTTATTAATATTTTATACATATGGAACTTACCTCTGAAGTATTGAAGACTTGAAAATTTGAGATCATGACTTATATAAATTTACAGTATGAAAGAGAAAAATAATTTTAATGTAAAATATTTAAGAATGACTTCACATATCTTAAATCCTTTATCCCTTCACATACCTTTTGATAGTAATGTTATATGGAGTATTTTAAATAGGCTTATCACAGAAAGGGAGTGATTTCAGCTCGTAACAGCTGTAGAATCCAAATGTAAAAGGAATAAGGTATCAATACTAATGATATTAGCAAGGAAGCTATTGCTATATCTCTAAGTAAAACAAAACAATAAGCCTCTTGAAACCATAACCCTCTCATATTTCATAATCATAGAATGAGTCTGGCATACCAGACCAAGTTGTTGGCCAATACTTGATAACAGCCTAGATAAATCTGCTCCAAGGCTAAATCAGGATTAACTTAAATCCTTACACTTACATAAGTGGTCATTTTTCTGTTGGAAAAAAGTAACTGTGTATTAGTTGATCTTTGCAATTTTATTTATATTTTAGTACTTTCTCACTGAAATCATTATCACTTCTGTATTCTTAATTTCATTAAATCAGTGCATTTACCTTATTGTGACTTTCATGTGTTGTTTGGAACTTCATTTTGATTAAAAAAGGCATTTTAAGAACTACATAATCTTCTAAATCAATATTTTGATCTAGCACATCTCCATATGATGAAAGATCCGTCTGATTTAAAATTAAGTTTTCAAATGCTTCTTCTAAATCAGTTTCACCAATTAAGACAGCTCCCATCATTCGCCCATTCTGCATGACAACTTTGACGTATTCTTGTCCTTTCGTACATCTCAGCATTAATTCATGATCTGAACCTAAGCCCCGTGTGTTTTATCTTCCCAGCATTACGACCTGTATACAGAGATGATGAAAGTATTCTTACTAGTAAGTACCAAAAAGGAAACATGATATGCAGTTACACTGTGTTAACCTAGAATGGCCAGCACAAAAATCTATTCACAAAATTTTACAGCTAGAAGTGTCAGTGGAGAGGTGGGTCACAAAGAAAACATTTGAATGACATTGCATTTATTGTACAGATGACAATACCCCACAATCTCTATGATCATTAAAAGTATCTAGTGAATTAAATATGTAGGATCTGGACTATATTAGCCTAGAGTCATGACTTAAAGATTTAATAAGGAACTGAGTTAGATCTTTCATGAGCAAATTAATCTCCTTAAACTTCATGTATGTGTGTTCCTCATCAGTAAATTATGAAGAAAAGACTTGGCTCAGAGTAATGTAAAGAGGAGTAAATAATATGCAAGGCAAAGCACCTGGTTCATTCTTGAGTATGATAGCTATTAGTTCCCCTCACAAAGCAAGAATGAATCTCAAATAAATGCAGAAATGCATCAACAGGGAACAAATCTGAAAGAGACTCCCCCCCCTTAACTATAAAATAGTATAGCAAGAAGGTAGGTAATGATTAGTAATTAAGACCAGCAATAATACCAGGTTTGATTTGCAAGAACTAAGAAACTGGTGATTTTTTCTAAAATGATGAAAACCATGTAAATTCTTATTCAATGAGAAAACCAGATAATTAGTTACAAGACTAACAAGCAGAAAAAGTCACTAATCTGCTTATCTAGAATCTTACCTATAGTTTAAAAATTTTGTTACATGAGCAAAAAGTTCAAAGCTAAAGTCCATGTCAATAGATTCTCCTAAACTAGCTGCAGCCAGTGCACTTCACTGCATATCATCCCATCTGTCTAGCCTGCGTCTGCAACCTCACCTGAAAGAAAAAAATGTTATGACATAAAAGTTTTCATTGTTCTACTTTAACAATACCTTACAAAATTCCTTAAAGGGGTTCACTGTTGACAGTCCTTGAGATTGGCTAGATCTAGCGAGCTAGAGGACTAGTTGGATTGTCTCTGGCATAGATAAGCAGTCACCAATCCACACCAACCAAACCAATTTTGGTATCTGATAATTTTATCCAAATTACAGCCTTTAAAATGAAAGGATGATACCAACTATGTTTATGTTTCAATAAGCTCTCCATTAAAAATAATTAAAATATTTCAGGCTACACTAAGAAAGAATACTACTTATTAACCAGTCTCTTCTTTCAGAGTAAGTTCATTATCAGCATAAGCAGAGATGACAAATTATCATTGAAAAATTCATTCCTTTTCCTAATCCTTAGTTTCTTGTGCTAGATAGTTAATGCCTCCCATGCAGTTAAACCTCAATGGTCAGGCAGATCGATATAATAGGTGATGTCCAGCCTCAGGAAATCTTAACTGATTTCAGCAACCAATGCTGGGAATTCATTTTTGTTTGAGAGAGAAAGGGAGAGCGAGCTCAAGCAGGGGTAGAGGCAGGCAGAGGGAGAAGCAGGCTCCCCGCTGACCAGGGAGCCCGATGTGGAGCTCGATCCCAGGACCCGGGGATCATGACCTGAGCCGAAGGCAGACGTTTAACCGACTGAGCCACCCAGGCGCCCCTGGAAATTCGTTTTATATTTTCCTTACAACATTGCTAATTTCTCCTCTACTGTATTTATTTTTATTGTATTTCTACAAAGTTTTGGGAATCCCTGATAGAACACTTGCCTTGGGAGCCAAGAGATTTAAATACCGACTCTTGTACATATTTAACTTTTTATTTTTATTTAATTAACTGAAACTTGATTTCTTTACCTGAAACATAAATGTACACCATCTATTCCATGGCTACTGAGAGAATTAAATAAGCTAACCTACACCCCTGTGTATAACTAATGTCCTTTTGTGTGCAAAAATACCACCACAATCATGGATGTGATTTTCAAGCATTTCTGGTAGAAGTGATAATGTATATATTTTTTGAGAGACAGAGAGAGAGAAAGAAAGAGTGCGAGCAGGGAGGGGCAGAGGGAGAGAATCCTAAGCAGGTTCAATGCCCAGTGCAGAGCCCGACATGGGGCCGGATTCCCTGACCCTGAGATCATGACCTAGGCTGTGAAACAAGTATCACTTGCTTAACCGACTCAGCCACCCAGGTACCCTGATAATTTTTTTTCTTTTAATTCCATCTCCTGTGTATAAACAAGATTGGTTTGATGAAGTGAAAGGGGGTCTGTGGGAAGGGAGCAGAGCAAACTGAGCACAACACTCAAGAACAGCTAATGGAGGCGGCCGGCAGTGTTACACTGTTGGACGGTTATTAATGTCTACCAGCCTCTGAGTCCCTCCAGTTTGGGTCTTGGATCATGTAAAACTAATTAGTGTACTTATTGCTTCTACAAATTAAGACATGAGGTCTATTAGATTCATTCAGAACAAGAGACCTCTGTTTTGTTTTCGGATATTGCCTGTAGCAGAGTATGACACATAATAAGGATATAATTTATCCTCTTAGAGGGTTTAAAGTGTTCAAAAAAATCCCACAAACGCCAATTCCTGAGAGTTGAAGACATATATGCCACAGAATGATTACAGAAAAAAACTGAAAAGAAGCTAGCACTTTAGAAACAGGCCAAAAGCACTCTTCCTATGACTATTATCTCTGTAAAAACAAAGTATTGAAGGTGCCTCTTAGAATGCATCTGGCCCTTCCGCTACTTCACACTCCACAGTTAATCTGAAGGAGAATCTCTACCTGTGGAGCTAGTCTTTCACCAAGTGTTGCCTGGTTCTTTTATCTGTAACATCTATCTGTGTCTCTACTCCTCCTAAGACCACCTCGCCTACGGCTGAGGTCTGAATATCTTCCTCAAGGATTTCTGCTCCACCGTGAGGGCAGGAGGACACGGACATCCAGCTGGACGGAGTTGTGCGGCTGAGGAAGAATGGTCGCTTGAGGGAATTTTTTCAGTCATAATTCCCACAGAGACAGAACTGGGTCATCAGGATCGCAAGGGGTCATCATCTATACGGTTTATACCTCAGGATGTTATTTCTTCATCTAAAGCTGCTCTGTCTAGTCTGGTAGCCACTAGACACAGGGAGCTATTTAAACTTAAATGTAAATAAAATTCAGTTCCTCGGTCTCACTCAGCACATCTTAAGTGCCAACAGAGACATGTAGGCTGGTGACTACCTGACTGGACACTGCAAACGTATAGAACGTTTCTGTCATCACAGAGTTCCACTGGACAGTGCTGGTAAGTATTTGAAGATGAGAAAGTCATAGCCCATAATTCTTTTTCAATTACAAACCATACCAGTGTGTTCCATCACTATATAATAACTTACCAAAAGGGAAACATTCTTTTTTTTTAAATGTCTAGGATAGCCTCCTACTTAAAGTAGCAAAGTGGGAAAACCAGAAGTTTGGATTTGCTGGTGGTGACTCACTCCTTTACCGTCACATGGAATCTGATACAAGGTGTGATGGTGGATGCCGGCTTACCTGCTGCCACACCGGGCTGGGCCTCCAGGACGCGGTGCACATGTCACCCGCAGCATAGACATCAGAGAGAGACGTGTGCATGTGAGCATCCACCTTCAGGCCTCCGTCTTCTCCTAGATCAAACTAAACAGGGTTCCTGATAAGCATATGTGGGAAGAAAAATGAAAGAGGTCTTTTCTGTTCTAAAGTAAAAGAACAAGTCAAATTTTTACACCTCGGTATGCTGATCTTCGGTGAGAGAGTAAAAAACAGCTGCCAAGTTTAGACAACTCAGCTGAATTTCCAGAGAATCAAAATCCTACTAGGACAGCCCAGCTAAAAAATTCTTAGACTTTTAAGATCAAGAACACTCAGTAACCATATGATTACCCCACTCATAATTACAATATTACTCAGGTTTCTGAGCTTCAAACGCTAAAAGGCAGAAAATATAAGATAGTTTCTCTAAAAGAATCATTTGTAAGATTTTATAGGTGTCTGTCTCATCAACCTTTAGACAAGTGAACTGTGCATTATGTCCCATTTATGAGGACACTGATGCTGGGACGTTTACTGCTTAAGGACTTTAGGCAATACGAAATACTGTAAATCAAAACATGACTGTAAACTAAATTGTTTTCAGCTTCCTTAAGTTACAGTTTTACACTAAGACAATGAACAGTTAAAAATACTCATAGCAGGACAAAAAATTTCACCTTACATTGTTGCCACAGATAAAAGGTTCTATATTTGGTGTTAACTCCTAGCACTGACAATGAAATCACAGCCGTTTTTCTTTTCATTAGTCAATTCCACATATATATACCTCTTAAAAAAAGAACCACAAAACAAAAACAAAAAAAACCCCTTTAATCTCAAATGTAATCACCTTCAGCTGTCCATAGAATTATGTGATAATGCCTAGAACAAAGAAAGAAGGCAGGAGAGGACTTTAAAACAATACTCCTTAAGGGGCACCTGGCCTTCTCAGTTAATAGAGCATGCGACTCTTGATCTCGTTTTGAGTTTTAGCCCCAGGTTGGATGTAGAATTTACTTCAAAAAAAAAAAGGAACCATGACAGACCCTGGGAAACAAACTGAGGGTTACAGAAGGGAGGAGGGGTAGGGGGATGGGGTAGCTGGGTGATGGGTACTGAGGAGGGCACATGGGATAAGCACTGGGTGTTATATGCAACTAATAAATTGTTGAACATTATGTCAAAAACTAATGATGTACTATATGTTGGCTAACTCAACATAAAAAAAAACCCTTAATTTTTATAAGGCACATTTGCTAAAACAATTACAATGTAATCAACATTATCTCCTTGTTTTGGGTATGACAAAATTATGACATTCTAAACATTTTTCCTTCAAATTTAGACATAAAACTTCTAACAAAGTAAATTTAAATTGATAATCCCTTTATAAATTATTTCTTTAAAAATACTAATACATTATACTCCACTGAGAGTTTAGTCCAACGAGATAACTCACTTTTCAATGTTTTCCCCTTACTACTCATATTCAAACTCTAACACTACCTTTTCCCATGGAAAAATTCAAATAATTCAAAAACAGTGGAATATCTCATATGCTAGTTCGGCTGAGTGTATTTCTTCCAATGGTGATAGTTCTCACAGAAAGTGTGGAATAGGAATTAGTCTGTTTCTTAATCCCAAATTTACAGATTTTTAATCTGTTTGATTTGGGGGAAGTCACTTCACCTCTGAGAGCATAAAGGTTTTCTTGGTTTAGATTTGTTTTGATCTGCAAGATACTCTGACTCACAGAGCTGTGGTGGTCATAGCACCGTGAGTCCCATGTATAATTATTAGGAAACTTGAAGACTAAGTAATGAAAAGGAAATGACTTATTAAGTAATGGTTTTATTTTTACTTTTTATGTTTAAATTTCATATGGAAATCTTAAGTTTTTTAATATAGGAAGACTAAGTTTTCTTCCTTTTAAATTAGTGGTTATTGTATTTTTTCTTATTTTATTACTTACCTTTATCAGTTGTGACTGACTGATTACAATGGTCTCTGGGAAAAGGCAAGGACTTTTTCTTAGAAATTCTAAATTCTTCCTGAAGGTAGATTTTCTTTACTTCACATACAGTTTCGATGTGAATCTTACGAGAAAACTAAAAGCAATGCTGATCACCATAACACATCCCCCCCAAAATTACAATACACTCGTAGAAACATACAGAAAAATAATTCTTACAATATAAATGGAAACATACTGGATGCCCCAAAATAAGCCTCTCACGATTTTTGTGCATGAAGGGAGTGAGGGAAATCCATTCAGAACTTAAGAGAACAAGTAGTTGCATTGGCAGGTAACACCAAGGGTATACTTTTTAGTATAGGCTTCATTGATAATTTCAAATACAGTCTTTAAAAATTACAACTGCTAGAGACTATAAAAACCTCTTGAGGGCAGTCTATGCCGACTTACTGTTATATCCAGAACCTTAGGAAAGTGCCAAGTACACAGGAGATAATGTTTACTGAACCAAACTGCTGAAGTTCTCAGGTTAAAAATACTATTAATCTTTGGATCTGAAGATGCAGGAAAAAAATGATTTTGTATAATTTCTATCACAAAAATTAGATATGCCGTGAAGCCGGCTCCCCTCCAAACTACCCAAGGCTGAAAAGAAATCATACACAGTAATAAGGACTCCATTTACGCTTCTTACAGTACTTAAATATCACAGCCTTTTAACAATTAAAAAAAAAATATCTAATAAATAAAATGAGTAAAAGCAAGTCATCTGCTTATCCAATTAGGGTGTTAAATACATATTTTATTTAGAATTCATCTAATAAACTTCAAAATATTATAATGCATGTGAAGTGACCTTTGAGAAAGGATTAATTTAAAATAGGACAGCTATATTCACTGTAGTCCGGGTCTGGAAGTCTCTCTGCCTGGGGAACTAAAAAGAAGGGCATGAGTCCGTTTTAGATGAATGAAATACTTAACTGGTAAGGAATTGGGCCACATGCCATTGGTCCTGTCTGTCCTAGCATTTTGGATTTTAAGTAAAATGACCTAGCAGTTGTTTTGACTTACTTGTAATCAGTCTTTAATGAATGGTTCAAGAATTTAAAATTGCATCTTAGGTTTAATTAGTATATGAACACATACCTCTTTTGTACCTTTAAGATTCAAGCCTTCAGGCCAATCAGGTCGCAAGGCACTGCCCATATTACCAGCACCAGCTTTGGTTTGTGTTTCCTTTTTCCTTCCTGAAAAGATAAACGCAATTCAAAATTCAAATGATCTAAAAACTGCCAGGCAGAGAAGTATGCTTTTTGTTTTCAAGTTTTTAGGCAATGTTATGATTCTCTTCTGTTTATACAGCATGACTAAACTAAGTTATGTGTTTTGATCATTTTATTCATTATTTTATTTTATTATTATTATTTTTAAAGATTTTATTTATTTATTTGACAAAGAGAGAGAGAGAACAGGAACACAAGCAGGGGGAGTGGGAGAGGGAGAAGCAGGCCTCCCGCGGAGCAGGGAGCCTGATGCGGGGCTCGATCCCAGGACCTGGGATCATGACCTGAGCCGAAGGCAGACGCTTAACGGCTGAGCCACCCAGGCGCCCCAGTTTTTTATTCATTATTTTAATATTTTGTGATAAAGTTATAAAATGGATCTTTCAATCAAGTGTTTATTGTATATACAATGTGTTTTTGCATGTTATATACATGGTTAATATGAAAGGTACAATCTATCCGATGAAGTGTTGATATCCAAAACATATAAAGCACTCATACAACTCAGTAACCAAAAAAAAAAAAAAAAACCCAAAAACAAAACAAAAAAACCAACCAAACTAAAAATGGGCAGAGGACCTGACAGACATTTTCCCAAAGACATACAGATGGTAACAGACACATGAAAAGATGCTCAACAATACTAATCATCAGAGAAGTGCAAATCAAATCCACAATGAGGTATCACCTTACACCTGTTGGAATGTCTAGAATCAAAAAGACAAGAAATAACAAGTGTTGGTGAGAGTGTGGAGAAACAAGACCCCTTGTGCTCTGTTGCTGAGAATACAAACTGGTACAGCCACTGTGAAAAACAGTATGGAGATTCCTCAAAAAATTATTAGAATTACCATATGACCAATAACTCCACTAACGAGTATTTACCCAAAGAAAAAAAAACACTAATTCAAAAAGATATGCACCCCTATGTTAACTGTAGCATTATTTATAACAGGCAGGATATGGAAGCAATCCAAGTGTCCATCCATAGGTGAATAAAGGTGCGGTATATATGTGTATGGTGTGTGTGTGTACTATTATTCAGCCATAAAAAAGCATGGGATCTTGCCATTTGCAACAATATGGATGGACCTAGAGAGTATTATGCTATGTGAAATTTAAATCAGAGAAAGACAAGTACCCTATGATTTCACTCATATGTGGAATTTAAGAAACAAAATAAAAAAGAGACAAAAAAAAAAAAACAGATTCTTAAATTCAGAGAACTGGTGGTTGCCAGAGGGGACGTGGGTAAGAAGTACGAACCTCCAGTTATAAATAAGTCACAGGGCTGTAAAGTACAGCACAGGAAATACAGTCAATAGTACTCTAGTAAGTGCGTACAGTGACAGAGGGTAACTAAGCCTACTGAGGTGACCATGTCATAATGTATAAAAAATTCAATCACTATTGTGGTACACCTAAAACTAATAAAGTGTATGTCAATTATAATTCAATAAAAAAATTAGCCATCAATTTTTAAAATTTTGTCAATTTTTAGCATCCTCAAAACTTAAAAAATTCTTCTTGAATTTTATAAGCTGAAAGTTAAAAACAAACACAAAACTCTTTTAAAATAAAAAAACTGAGGTCTGTATTTCTTTTATAACTCACTTGCATTTTTTGTAAAATTACCTTAGGTGCTGTCCAACTGCAGCATGTTTGCAAAGGTGCAGATGGGCTGCTTCATTTAATTCACTAAATTTCCAGTTTTACTTATACATATTTTTCATGAAAAAAAAATCCTAGAAAATCTAAGTCATGTAGAATATAGAAATAAATATTATCTATATTCCTATCTCCCCCAACTATAATATTTTGCTCAATGTCCTTATGGCCTTTTTCTATATGGCTTTCATCTGTGAATTAATGAACCAGATGCTATATCTTCAGTTGTATATCTGGTTCTTTTATGTGCAGTTCTAGCCCCTGGTTTTTCAGCAATGAGCTCTGAAGTCAAGAATTCAGCTGCTCCTGCATCAAAGAACTAAAGTTTCAATTTCCAACAAACCAAGAGCTGGGAGTACCATAGATCTTGAAATAGGGAGTCATGGGCCAGACAGGTAACCATATAAATGAGTGAAGCAGGATGGGTATAAACAATAAAAAGTGGTGGGGGCTGTGACTAGAAATCTCTAAAAGTGTGCACTTTAGAGATTTAGAAATCCCTAAAGTATGAACAAGTGTTTTTCAAGATAGTCCATGCTTCCCATACACCTCTATGGGTCACATCTCTCCAGTCACCTGTGTGTGACCTCTTGAGACAGAAAATGTTCCCTAAACTCATGTTTGGCAGTGACATTTCTACAACAATGAATTCCATGAAAGCCAAAAATATAAAGTGGACATTTTCCTTGAAAATATATGAAAACCAATTACATTTATCTTTGAATTTCAGAATACCAAGATGTTTCTAGTCTGCCAATAATCACATGAATCACAGAGCAGTGTTTAAATAGGATTTAAAATATATACTTACACCAGTTCAAGTGCAATGCCGCCATTCCCTATGATCATTATTCTTTGAGCTTTAGTAAGCTGTTTCTGAAAGTCCTGTATTAAAAAGAAAAGGAGACAGTGTTCTGTAAATAGTGGGCAAAACGTGAAGCAAGAGGCTTCAGTGATAATATTCTTAAAATGTAGGAATTTTATCTGATTTACAAAGGAACAAAATAAATCTCTTTCCCACTCTGCCAGGATGCACCCTCCCAATATTACAAATGCTCTCTGTTTCACCCAAGCTGTCTTCATAGCAATGCCTCTGCTGATTTTCCTTGCCTTTTAGGTCAGTACATTTAGAGTAGTTCAGAATTCCAGCAAGCGGCACGACCTCTAGTTTAACACATTCCTAACTCCTTGATCAAATCAATTTACTAACAGGACACTGGTCTGTATCCTACATACAGGGTTATTCCTTCCCGTCTAGTCCTTCAGTTGACACTTTCCCTGGAGTCACCCAACACTCAAAACTTGCATGAATGAGCAGCACAACAGCTTGGTGGTTAAGAGTCCTTGGTTCTAGGAGTTAGTAACTGCCTGCAGTTATTAACTTAGGCAAGTTGCTTAACCCCTCTGTGCCTCTGGTTCTTCAACTATAAATGGAAACAAGAAGTGACTCTATCTCATTAGGCCTCTGCAAGCATTAAGATAATGTAAATAAAGCTGTTAGGAGCAGGCACAATA